GGGGGGGGGGGGGGGGGGGGGGTTGGAATAAGACAGGAACGGAGAGAAGTTTGGCAAGCTAGACCGTCCTAGTGCGTAGAGCGAGGATTGTGAAGTTCGTCGGGGAGTGATAGGGGTTTGGAGGAATGATGACTGAGTGCCAGGGACAAACGTTGCTTCCCGCGAAAGACGGGAATTTAACTTGTGTAGAAGAGTGGGAGAGGAATGGTCAAGGTATACATTCCCACACCTCGGTAATCACTCCACGATAACCGTCGGTACCCTGGTGAGTTTCCTGTCATTGCCGATCCCCATACGCTTTCAATCCGCGTTGGTCTAACGAACATCTTCCAACACTTGTAGAACGTACGTTTTTCGGTCTAGGTTTTGTTGCTTCTGACTAAACGTTATAGTATGTACAAAATATTGGTCTGCTTTTTAGAATTACATGAATGTGATGTCTTTTACAGCTGTTGTAAACTTTTAACTTGTTTTTATAAATTCATATATACACCGAAACGTTCAATTTCGAGTTTTTTGCTGTTTTATTAACTTTGAACGTAATGAGGCGATTTGACAGGTGAAACAAATTTAATTTTACGATTGACAGGATAACCGAGGTTTGAGCAGCTTGACTTTCGGAGATATGATCAATATCGAAATACACCACACTTTTCATATCAGCTGTTAGGGCCAGATAGCTTATCTGTCTGGAGATTACAGTATATATACTAATGCCAGTGACAAGAGATTTATTCTCAATGATAAAAGGGAGATAATTCTTGCCGATAACGCTTCTGACAAGCAACAGTGCCATGCCAAATGCTTCGGCCACATGATATTGTAATACATATTTATATTCTATGTAACGATTGAAGCTGTACACAATGCCAAACTACTGGGAGTTTTTATTGACAGCTGTTTGTCANAAGATATTGTCGATAACGTTGAGAAACTGAACACAAATAAGAGAATTGGTTTGTCGCACAACGTTTTTTTGTGAACAAGGAATTTGGATTACATAAAACGTCCGCCAGATTCTGTGGTGTGCTGTAAAGTAAAGTCACTCCAATCTCGTTCGAGTTCATCTCAACCTAAAGTCGACATTAATAACCAGCCATGATTGGACAATGTTGAACACTTGACATTTCCAAAACTCTTTTAAATCAGATGACTTTTGCAATAACTTTATTCCCCAACTAACTTTAAGACAATTAAAAGGGGCTATTTTTTTCAAGGAAAAAGTTATTGTTGCCTCAGAAATGCTGTTTCAAAGTGAATCAAGAATCAGATGTTGGAACGACCTTGGACATACGACTCATAACACTGCATCAACGGCGGGAGCGGCCAGTTCAGAAATAACATCATTTAATGTAGAGGTAATCGTGTACAACATTAAATTGTTTGCGCATCATTTTGGTAACATTATTTCAAGTAAAAATTGATCAAGTCTAACACTCATCTAAATGCATTTTTAAATCGTCCAATTTCAGAGAAACATTTAGGGAAGGTCAACATTTTTAGCAAGGTCAGCATACCAGCAGGGTCAACAAATCAGCTAGATCAACCGCTTTTATAACGATGTATATCCTTTGAAATATATTCTCGCGTAATGCTAAAATAAGTATAAAATTTACAAGTAAAATACATTGACATTACATTTCTCAAATAACGCGTTATTCTCAAGTTAAATCCGGATAAAATTAACTTTACTATAATAACAGATGATGATAATGAGGATGAGGATGGTGATAATTTAAATAGTTGATATGTGTGGATGTGTGTTGATGTGATGTTCTGTATAATGTACATAATCTGAAAATCTTGAAAAATAAATAAATAAATAAAAATAAAATATAAAATAACAGAGCCAGGATCGTTTTTCGAGCATGTAAAACAATTAGTAAAACTACTCACCTAGTTTAATGTGCGCAATGTTCAAGACCTATAATAACAATCTCCCTCCCCCTTTACATTATGTTTCCTTTGTCAGAACTTGTAAGGAAGGCTGAAGACCATCCCCAGGTTTCTAGAGTAATAGGTGGATGTAACAGTGTTAATATAGGGCCTGGTTATTAACATGTCGACATTTTGAAAGAGCAACATGTTTAGTTCCCGGTCGATCAGTATGCATGTCGGAGTGTGCTTTATTTCGCGTTGTTTCCTCACTGAAATCCTATTATCTGGGATAAATCCGCTGTCAACGTCGCTGGCAGCAGGGCATCACTTTATTGTGACACGCTGATACGCATGTTTGGTCCTTTTAACACCAAGAAATTTAATCGGTTGCCAACACAACTATCCTGGTTTGTGTTTGGTTATTTCGAAATCAAAACATTCTTATTGCAAAGGGATATATACACGTTTGTCAACATAGATATTCAAAATCTATTACGACAGGGCCCTAACACTGTTGTTGACAAAGATTCGACCTATCACTGTTTCTTCTTTTTCCTTTCCTAATTCAACACAAGTTTTAAAGCCAGAGTCATTTACATCAAGGTCCAATGGAAATATTTACATTCATCTACATCAAAGTCAAGTTTTGCACTGTCAAATCAAACTTAAACTGCTCGTTGCGTTCACCAATTACCCGGGGAATTAACGATTGTCAACACAAGTCCGACCTATTGCCGATCAGGGATCATTGTCTATCTTTAGAAAGAGAATAGGCTGTTAATGGAGGACGTGAGCTTATAAAGGTTTGGTGTGGAGTTTATCGGTCGTGAGTGTTTACTGACATGAATTACAGGAATATTTATAAAAAAAATGTACTATTATTTGCTGATTACAGGAAGGCCTACCTTCAGTACCATCTGTAACTCTTAGTGACAACTACCAATAAGAGGATCTAGACAAGCTAGCAACATAGGAGAATGTCTCGGAAGGTTGCATGTCAACAAGAACAATGTCAGGGTTTTTCCTTCAGGTAATCACGGGGTATGAGCTATCATTCTATTTTTCATAGTTATCCATTACAGTCAGTTGACTGACTGCGCAAAACAGGTAGGACACACACTCACAATCTTAGTCAGGGATTTACAGGAGCAATCACACTGGAAACGTATGCATTAAAACTAACACAACCTTGACCTTCGTGAACAAAAATCTCAACATTAGATTAGTTAAGAAAAGTGCCTTCATGATTCTTCTGATACATCTAGTAGTTTGCCAGTGTCATTTGAAATCACCATCTAGAGAAGAACATCAGGGTACTCGACACAGTCCAGCATTAGGCTATATGCTCAAAGCTTATGGGCAGTCTGTTAACGTTATCGACATGAACAATGTCTTACACAGACTCAACTGGACGTATAGATCGATAGAGACGTTGCTTTCATTTTACCAACGATAAAGACCATAATATTATATGAATTATCAATAAATTATCTAAATAAACGATATTGACCCTGATTCAATTGGACAAAGATTCCATTAGACCTAAACAAACGATATTGACCATGGATACATTGGAATTAATCAAGCAATGTTGACCATGACGATGACGTCAACAAACGATATTGATCATGATTCCACTGGATCTAAACAAACGTTATGATCATGATTCCACTGGACGTCAACAAACGATGTTGATCATGATTCCACTGGACCTAAACAAACGATGTTGATCATGATTCCACTTGATCTAAACAAACGATGTTGATCATGATTCCACTGGACGTCAACAAACGATGTTGATCATGATCCCACTGGACCTAAACAAACGATGTTGATCATGATTCAATTAGACCATGATTCCATTGGACCTATACAAACGATATTGACCATGAATACATTGGACCTAAACAAACTATGTTGACCATGTGTCTTTTTGATGTTAACAATTGTTATTGATCATGATACCATTGGACGTAAACAGACAATATTGGTCTTCACCAAACGTGAATATGTGGTTCCTACAGCTGATTTGTTAACGTACATTTAGCACAAGTCTTTGCAGTATTTTTATATAGCCATATAACGAGTACACGATTTTTATATTTTAAAAGGACCATAAGAAAGGGAAAAAACCTTAATGCAGTTTTTCGTAAAATATTTTCTGATTTCATTATCACTGCAGAATTAAATCGATATAATATTAAATTATGCACTTTAATGTAGCGTATTGGGAATCCTTTCTGAAAAAGTGACTACTTTTTTCGGATGCCCAGTAGTCAATTCATTCCACATAAAAGTCTCATTTATCAGCTGCACAGAGAAAATGCTGTTTTAGCAAAATGCATTTTGAAGCTTGCACAAAGTTTGAGTTCACAACTAGAGATGTAATCGACTAGTAAATTACTCCACGTCAAAATGTGTGGGAAGAAATGAACATTGCTCGTGCTACCAGCAGAGTGAATCATAATAAATAAATCTAATGGATGAAATAAAACGGAATGATCCCTCTGCCAAATCCCTCGATTATTACTGTAGCGTCACTTCACATTCCTGGATCAGGAATGAGAGCCCCAAACTCCTGCCATTGTTCAAATTGCTTCTGTAACCTTATTTTAATTAGAATAAGTACTCACTATTGAACAATTATGCAAATATGGACATTTCGTTGAAAAAAGTGAGGACAGAATTTTATTGGATGCAATCATTGGCCCAGAAAATTACCATTTATTTGACGTTCTGGGAGAATGAACATTTACTGTAGAGTTGATAAGTTGCCGTTGCATTTTAAATTGACTACTGCATTGTCATATACTGACAGTATAACCTAAATGTATGGTACACAACTAACGTTCCCGTATATCATTCGCGAGTTGGTAGGTTTTTGTAAATGCGTAGGATGTCAGTTTTCCTCAACCCATACTATACACTTTACAGTTACTGCAGAACTGTTACATTCACTACGGAGCTGCTATATTTTTGATACTTGGAAATTGTCCGAGGTTTATTCTTTGAGGTTATTTCCAGAATAATTGGAGAATGACCATCAACAAATCAATGCAATATGTAAACACTAGCGGGCTGCTAGAGGCAGCTGGAATGTACAGAAAAAAATGGGTACATACCTGTTCCAGCCACACATTAGTTGTTAATACTTGATTTACTTCGTCCTGAAAAACAATTAAATAAGATTTATAACTAATCTTACATGTAAATATCAGTTCTAATGACATAACAAATACATAAATAATTCATAGTCACTTCGACCAACAGCAATGATTACGAAACCCCGAGCAGCAAAGAAGAATCACTAGTCTGGCCTGGATATATTGAGGTTTATTTTAGCACGGTTCCTATTTAGAAAGTTGTTAGGCAAAAAGTGAAAAACATTACAAAACAAAATATATCTGCAATTTGAAGGACGAAAGTTGGCTGTTTCCTAGAACTTAAAATAGTTTGTTTAACATAAAAAAAACTACTTGTAATAGGGATCAATATCGACATTAGATTATTGTGAGACTCCCCTTCTTATTATTATTAACATGTAGGTTGCAGTGACTCAAAGTGCGCTACCTTAGGGTTGGGGAGAGCCCTACCAGCGAAGACAGGTCGCTCTGCGCCACTGCAATCATATGATGTAACTTT